GTACTTAATTAGGCTGTGCAAGCTATTCTTGTACCCCCTGTTCCCTAATACAGAAGAAGCAAGTGAAGGGGAGTGGTTTTTTTATTCTCTAGTTGTCTCTTTATAAAGTGTTGATACTGTTCCCAGTCAATTTTAGCATGTTGTGAGGGGGAGGGGAACCTTAAGGCATCAGAACAATTGCATGCTCAGAAATCCAGCCTTCCGTGATGTTTGTATAACTACGAATTCAGGGCCCAGCCTGGAAATTCCTTAGACAAGTCTTTTTTAGCTGAAGAGAGTTTAGAAAACAGCTTTCCTTCAGAGTAGCAACATCTCTGTTTCAGGATCATCTCTCAGCAAACTAAGATATAAGCTAAGAAGAAAGTTGGGAGTGCTCTAAGATATCTTATTCAGCTGTCAGCCAAATGAGAAGCTTACACTTCTTTCTGTAGCATTATCATAGGAGAACAAAGTAAAATAGTTGTCAGTCTACAAAATACTAAGGTACTTCATAGGTCAACGAGGGAACGATCTATTGCAGTGTGTCTGTTGCAAACATGTCTAGACTGCAGTGCTTGGAAATGCTTACACGGTACTTGCTGCAGTCTTTAAGCTAGCTGGCCTTGGTCTATCAGTCTAACCTGCAGCAGCAGCAGAAAGTTCACTATGGAGTATTTTACCCTGTTCCACAGATCAGTCACAGCCCGTATCTAGAATGAGATAGTGTTAATTGCATAAATGTGCTAGTCCTTTGGCTCTTGGCTGGTGCATTGGTATTTCTCTACCCTCTCCTTTCTTGTTAAGAAAAAAATGCACTGTGCTAGCCATGAGACTATAGGAGGGCTTCTCAGCTTTTTGGTTTTTAGCATTACCTTTTCCAAACTGTGTTTTGCAAAAGACTGCAAATTCCACTTGAATGTTTTTGACTATGTGAACCTGTAAAACAAGAAACAGCCATTTCGAATATTGTGAGGAAAAAAAAATGCTACATGGGTATCTAAACTGTATGACCTCCTTTTAACTAACAGGTTCACCCTGACAATGAAGACTGGACCTGTTTTGAACAGTCAGCAAGTCTGGATATAAAATCTTTTTTTGGTTTTGAAAGCACAGTGGAAAAGATTGCCATGAAGCAGTACACCAGCAATATTAAAAAGGTGAGCTTGCAGTAATGAAGGAGGTACCTGGCTCTAAGTTGCCAAAAGACGATGGAGTTGCTGCTAAGTAACAGGCTGCTCTGCTCAGAAAGCTGGGCAGTTTACTCTTCAGCTTGGGGCAGCGTGCATGTAGGTCTGTGTATTTTCAAGTGGAATCTTTAGAGAGGTCTGGGTTTCATGGGTTTCCAGCCCAATCCTTGCTGTATCTAAATGGTTTTTTTTAGTAGCTGAAGTAAATTTTCCTTTTTGAAGGGAAAAGAAATAATAGAATACTACCTGAAGCAGCTGGAGGAAGAAGGAATAACTTTTGTTCCTCGTTGGACTCCTCCTGTTGCATGTAAACTGGAGAGCAGCACATCACACACAAGACGACCAGTTTCACCTGCCATTACTATACCAGACTCTGCCACAAAGGAGGGCTTGAACAATAAGGAGCTCCTCAACACCTCGAGCAGCCCCTCGGAGCCCACAGCAGGAACACCTGATGGTATGGTGATCTGACTTGTTTTAGTGGGATTCTTTGTACTGTAGAGGCTCTCAGCACTGTGCTGCTTCTCATGGGCAGCCGAAGATCTTCACGTTGGCTCTTTGTTTGGCAACATGCAATGTTAAAGTGCAGGCTTGCAAAGCAGTAACGTGGGATAGCTTGGATAGCTGTTACAAGCTGATCTTTTTAGTAAATGAAGGTCAGATATGAGTAGAAAAACTCTTCACTTTGCTGTTCATTAGGTTGCAAATGGATGGCCTTCTTGCCCTGAAATTCAGGGATGGGTATAACTATAGGAACAACGGGGAGGAAAGGGCTGAAGCTTCCCTGGATGCAGTCTTCTGTTGTATCTTCCTTCCCCTGTTCATAAGGGAATTTGGGAAAATTCTTGCACTGGGAGATTTAGATCAAAGCTTCTCTAAGTATTTTCAGAAGCAGCAAGCCCTATGGTGCTGTGGATTGACAAATCTGAATATACTGGCAAAATGCTCTTACAAATGTCTGGTTTTACTCCTTTCTTAGTTGCAGAAGGAAAATTAATCTTCTTGGTTTACCATTACGATGACTGTGTATGTTGCCTTGCTCATCTTTTCATTGATTCAAAGAAACTTTATTCAATTCTGACTGCACAGAACACAGAGCAGCTGCTTCTCTGCCTCAATATCGACATCTAAGATCATTTGCTACTTTGACTAGGTCAGTTCAGGACCACCCTAATCACACGTACATCTCCTTTTAGACAAGCTAGACGCAGACTACATCAAGCGGTATCTGGGTGACTTGACGCCGATGCAGGAAAGCTGCCTCATTCGACTGAGACAGTGGCTCCAGGAGACACACAAGGGCAAAGTAAGTTACTGTTGGTCTCTTGTGGCCAGAATGTGTGATACGCAAGGTGGGCCTGATGAAACATCATGCCACACCTCCTGTGGCTAACTGTTCCTGTTAAGTGGCCCTCCATGATCAAAACAGAGTACCTAAATTAAGTCTATGCAGTGGCAATAGAAGTTCATTTTGACTGTCCAGCTGACTTTGCCAGCTGAGGTGCTTAAATGATTAGCATGACTGCCTCTCAGAATTTCAATAAACCAACACAGGGGAATAATGTCAGTTTTGTAAGTCTGCCCTGTTCTAGAATAACCTTATTTTTACATTTGTTTGTTTTGGTCAAACATCATATTCTCAAATCTATGTCCCGAAGTGCAGTACTGAAAGGGAAGCAATGTGGCCAGTTAAATCACTGATAGCAAGGCTGGGGGTTTTCCGGTGGCTTGTGATTTGCATGTATGTCTCCGTTTCCTTTTACTTAGCAATGAAAATACAGTCTGTGTTTTGTCCCTCAATTCATTTAAATTGGACTGACTTAGTATGGTCATACAAGTGTAAATGATTACATTAGAGTTCATGAAACTTTTATATCCCTCATATGAAGGTAGCTGCAGTACCTGACAGGGCTTATGTTTTTGTTGCAAACAAAGACTGATTTGCTTGAGTAACTTCCAGTGTTGCATACCATCCTCTTGCACTGGTGCAGGGCTGCACGTTTTTCAGCTTCTGTTGTTTGGATTTTTTGTTTTTGTTTCAAACCTTGTATACAAAATTGAGGGTTCTGTTTGTTTTGTTTTTTTTTAATAGATCCCAAAGGATGAGCACATTTTAAGATTCCTGCGTGCCCGGGACTTCAACATTGATAAAGCAAGAGAGATTCTTTGCCAGTCGCTGACATGGCGTAAGCAGCACCAGGTAGACTATATTCTAGACACCTGGAACCCTCCTCAAGTACTCCAAGATTACTATGCAGGAGGCTGGCATCACCATGACAAAGGTATGCTCTATAGGGTGGATATGGAACAGCCTTTTTATGTTCTGAATTAAAGGTGATAGCTGTCCCTCTGTTAACTAGAGGTGACTGGAAGGATGGTTAGAACTTCTCAGTTGTTACGTACTAAATGCATTTAAATTGATGTTGCCAGCTACTTAGTTGGTGGAGACAGACTCCTAGGTTCTAATCTTTCTGACTAATACCGACATATTTAACTCTCTAAAGAGCTCTGCTTTGCCAGTAGCTTAGTTATTAATTGCACTTCTGTAGTGCTCTGAGATGCTTAGAAGGGTGTTATGCAAATGCTGACTATTCTCTTTCAGTGATTAAAAGATGTTTGTAAATAAGTGTATCTTTCTAATCAACTTATTTCTGATGTTGTAGAAGTCTGCGGATGGCATAAATGAATACTTATTTGGCATTACAATCAGCTTAATGATGAGAAGTGGGATGTTGCAAAAACATTAAATAGAGCAGGTTTATTTAAGAAGGAAAGAAGCTTTGGCTGAATTCCCTTTGTATGGTGAGCCACGGCCAGATCTTTAAAACACGGATGACTATGCCTGACACGCTCCCCTATCCCTCCACTTGCTTTATCGTGCACTGATCTTGTTGCTAATACATACACAGAAATGAAACGTTTTGGAATTTGTTGCTTGAGGCGAGCTGGGCTCTTTAGATAAGGAAATGATCTCTTACTGTGAGCTATCTGTGTTCCCCGCTAGGCACCATTGTTTCTGCGAGCTCTTCCTGTTAACAAGAAGCGTACAAAACAGGACAGCAGTAGTGGCCAGGAGACAGGGAGGACACAGCAGAAGTTTAATCACTGTAAAGCTGAAGAGCTTGAATAGCTCTCCCCTGCTGCTTTGGGTTTGACAGACCTCAAACTGAGAAAATGTAAAATGAGAATATGCCTGTAAAGATTGTAGGGAAAAAGACCTGTGAAGAAGTTCTCCCTTTCTGTCAGTTCCTTGTCCTTACTTTGCAAAGACTTCCTGTGTCAGTAGCACGTAACTGGGTCCTGCCAGTGAGTAGAAAGATACAGAACGCATCAAAGGGTTGTTCAATGTTTTTCTGAGAAGTTCTTCAGTCTTGTGGTGAACTTCATGCTCCCCTCCCTTCCCCTCCAGTTCCTTTGGTCTCTTTTGCAGCATGCCCACAAGTAAAGCATGGGTTTGTCAATAATGGTAACAGAATTTCAAAACTGAGCAATTCTCTACAATTTAAAATTTTACAGTGGTAGGTTCTTTTTTTTAAACCCTCTTTTCTGGTATTGCGCCTTTCCTCCTACATATGCTAAATGTGCCAAACTTAAGCTAGCTGAATTCTGTATAGCTTTTAGCGCTGAAGCAAAGACAGCAGTGGTTAAGCGTGTTGTCTAGAATGAGCTATTAGTACAAAAGGATAAAAGTTATTATTTTGGCTTACAATTGGCACAGTTTTCTATACATCTGAGTGGCTTTTATTTTCACAAGAGTGCTTCAGTCAAATTTTTTTTTAAATCACAAAGCTCTAATGGAATATAAAATATACAGTGATAATACAGCACTGTCAGTTGAGACTTTCCTTCATGTGTCATTTGGGTGGACCAGGGTTAGTAAACTATTAGTTTGGTTTTGGATGCATGTGCATCTGTGAGGGAGGGAGACCTGCTATGAAGCTTAATAGCACTTTTTGTTTAGTGTTTCAAAAGCTAAACAGTACATTCCAAGATACAAGTGTGTGCTGATGTTAAAACAATGTTTTCTTTTAGACCACCTGATAAAATACAAAAGACTGAACTTTCATGGGGGTAATGTCTTTGCCAAATAAATAACTTGCCTTGACTCTGCAGTTTTGGTTGTTTGGTTTTTTTAATAGCATATCTTGACAGTTTCTTTCCTTGTGTCCCAAAGCACTTAATGATAATTTGATACCTCTCTTTGCAGTTCTTGGAGGGAAGTGAAGCTAAACAGACAACAGGACTTCAGGGAGGTTATTATGTAGAAAGCTCTTTTTTTTTATTTTTTTTATGTTGTGTCCTAGCATACTCAGTTTCATAAGTTAGTGATTGTTTAGCTTGTGTACTAGAATAGATGGAGCAAAGCTTAAAAAATGCATCACAGCTTTGGACGGAGGATGGAAGCTCTTTCAGACAACTAGCTCCTATTATGAAGAGCCAGAAATGCAAGCTTTGAGTCTCAAATTCAGCCAATGCAGTTGTTAAGCTTAATGCCTTTGTATCCTGCCCCAGTGTGCAGCAAGATGACCATGAAAAGGCAAGGCTTTGAATGCAGAGGGTCCATCCGAAGCTGATCTCTGGAACAGAGTCTGTTCTCACCAGGCTTAACCTGCATAAGTGAGGCTGTGTGCCAGTTCGTATAATAAGTAATGACATAGCTGAAAGGTGTGACTCCAGCAAATACTGCAGAAAGCAAGTCTCTGGGTTAACACTTTGTTTCATTAATTCTCAGAACTCAGCGTAGCTAGTTTTCCAAAAAGGTCGCTGTAAGCTGTCCAGAGCAGTATTGCGTCATGTGTGATAGAAGGCTTACAGCCTTCATTGCAACTCTTCAGTTACACTAATGGACTAAAACTTTTCCTGTATCTTATCTGTCCTGGAAGCTAATTATAGTCCTGTGTCATTAATTGTGTATACCAAGATTGTGTGTACCAATATACTTGATGAAGTCCTTTGGACTTTCCTTGCAGATAGGGGAGCTATTTTTGCATCAAGACGTCTCCATTAAGCTTTTGTGGTTCGTTTACAGGCAATCTTTTAGTGTAGCTGGACAGGGTAAAGTTTATATTGCCATCTGCTCCAGGTTCTCCTTCTTGCAGCTGTATAACAAAGTTTGAATTGACTATGACTTGTTTCCATGTGGATTTTTAGCATAAAACTAGCTCGCTCAAATTGTCTATTGCTGTAAAAATAAGGGTTATGTTGATATATTTGTTCTCGTTATTCAGATGGTCGCCCGCTGTATGTGCTGAGATTGGGACAGATGGATACCAAAGGCTTAGTGCGAGCTCTTGGGGAGGAGGCCTTGCTTCGATACGTAAGTATTTTTGAAGCCAGCAAGTTGCTAACAATGTGATATTTTCATTTAGAAATTTCCTCCTCTGCCAGAACATTCATCACTGGATATTTTGATGTACTCTGGCCGTCTGTTTTTGGTTTGAATACATATGAAAGCTCCTGGTAGCTGATCTTCTGCATTCTTTCCAACTGCAAACTGATGGAGGAAAGGCGTAGTTCTTGGCAGCTCCTATAGTTATCGGTTAGCATTTTCACAGATTCTTCTGCAGTTTGTGCAGTGCTTCAAACTCAAGTCTCTGCATTTGTACAGAAGAGAAAATGCCATGCTCAGATTTTGTCAAGCCTGTACGCCAAGGATAAGAATAATTTATTTTTGAAGAAAAAGTACTTGCCTGTAATTTTGCCTCCTCTAAAGGCATCACTCAGACTGTGTTACTGTGGATCTGCTCAGTTTCCAAGCAGAAAGCTGGCAGAATTCCATGTTTGCAGTAATTTTTTTTTGACTCCTAGTAATGACAGTCAAGGCTGTAGTAACCACTGGAAGCGGGGCCTGAATTTTACTTTTTCTCTTCCAGTGGCATTTCCAGGCCCATACTAAACTTTGTTTGTTTGCCCTAGTTCTGTTTCAAGGTTACTTTCTATGACTTAAAAAGGGGCTTTAATTTCTGAGTAAATAGGAAATCAGTGCTTAAAGGGGCAGAAGTGTAGGGAGACTTCTTGTCTATATCACTCCTGGGTCTCCCTTTTCAGGAGGATCTTGTTTACATTTTACTGCTTTTATGGAAAGGTATGTCCTTTTCAACAAGATCAACCAATGGGGTAAATGTAGTGATTTCTAGTTCATTCTTTGGGAAAAAAGTTTATGCTGGTTTGAGCTTGTAGTTTTAATTAGTCTTTGGATATAAACGTTGTTTTCCTTTATCCCATGTACTGAGTTTAAGACTGTCTTCTCTAAACAACATGTTTTCTTGTACAGGTTCTTTCAATAAATGAAGAAGGACTGAGGCGATGTGAGGAGAATACGAAAGTATTTGGCAGGCCAATAAGGTAAAATGCAACAAGTGGATCTGCTCTTTGGGAATTACCTGGTTTCACGGTGTGTGTGGGGGGAACGTCAGGCAATGTGATGCTGCTGAGCAAAGTTGAATTAACCTGGTTTCACGGTGTGTGCGGGGGGAACATCAGGCAATGTGATGCTGCTGAGCAAAGTTTATTAAATGGAACGAGCAAAGGGTAGGCTGTGTCTCTCACATGCAGATACAAGCACAGAGTTAACTGAGAGCCTCCCTAGTTACTGCTAGAGTGAATCTGCATGGTCCAGAGTTAACTGAGAGCCTCCCCAGTTACTGCTAGAGTGAATCTGCATGGTCAACCCTGAGGGAAACACAACACCTGCTCCAGCAGTTTCAGTGTCATGCTCATAATGGTTCTACATGGGGGGTGTTATGCTTCTATTCTATTCTACTGTTGGATGTCTACAAAGCAATGCAGCCTAACTCCCCATTTCTGTTTCTGGGGGATTTTATAGACAGACGTTGGTACAGGCTGCCAAAAAAATCAGGCCATGATAATATCATGGATAACCTTTCCAGTATTTTCAGGTATTGTTTTCCTGTCACTTGTTCATCCATAGTCCATACCAAGGCTCATTACACTCAGTTCTTGTTTGCATTCTCCGTTTATTATATGCAGTTACTCAACTCTTGATCCAAGGTAAGGTCATGAGGCTCCTGTGAAACCTGGGGTCTAGTTTTCCAAGTACTGGCATGACTTCGTGTGAAGTTCAGTCAGAAATGCCTTGCTATCCCATCTTTAAGTCATTGTAGGGGTCACTTACAAAAGCGTTAACTGCAAAATGGATTTAAGGGTGTGGAATGAATGCAGGACTGGCCCTGAAATGAAACAGTTTCTTGGACTCTTTTCAATTTCTGACTCCTTCCCTCAATCTGTGAAGGTTCAGGGATGCATGGTATGTCTGCTTATCTTTTCCCTGTTAAAGAACTTGGTGTCCTAGCTCTCAGTGGGAGGTCAAATCCGAGAGATGGATTTCATGTGTGTAACTATGAAATTGTGCTGCGTACTGGATCTTCATTTGTAGAAGTAATCCTAAAGGACTACATATTAAACACTTAAAGTGAAACAAAGAAGTATTTGCTGTTCCACAGAAGCCTTATGCATAATTTCATGGATGCTAGCTGGTGCAGCACAGCTGTAAATCTTGAATTCATGCCCAGGATGAGACCTGAACTTGGAAAGTAACTAAAGCATATGCTGAAGCTCAGTATTTAGAATTAAGAACATACCTTTTCCTATAGAAAAAGCTTCCCTCCCTGAGATCTGACAACAGAATTAGCTCTGATGTGTAACGGCACTGTTACTGTACTGTGTTAGTAGGAAATCTGCACCATGAATGTTAAATTGCTTCGTAGCAGCATGGCCACTTAATTAATTTCCCAGTAGAAGCAATGGTTTAACACTTGGGCTGGCTGACAGGATCTCTTTTGGCTTCATATTAACCTTCACCTGGAGTCTGAAATGTCTGTGGGGGAATACGCATGATGTGCAAAATGATCTGTGCACATACTCTGTAACCGTGCTTGGCCCACTCTAAGACATTTCCGACCTAAGGATCTTAAACTCCAGTGTCTGCAGGTAGCGCAAAGCAAGGAGGTAAAATAGAAGAAACCAAAACATGCGGTGGGGTCCATGCATTTCAGTACGCTGTACACTTGCATAAGAAAGGAGAATTTTGATGCCACTGAGATTTTTTTTTTCTTTTTGTCTTTCTCAAATTCAGCTCTTGGACCTGTCTAGTAGATCTAGAAGGCTTGAACATGCGGCATTTGTGGAGACCTGGTGTCAAAGCACTGCTAAGAATCATTGAGGTGGTTGAAGCTAATTACCCTGAGACTTTGGGTCGTCTTCTAATCCTAAGAGCACCTCGAGTATTCCCAGTTCTTTGGACACTGGTATGTTTGTAATTCAAGGCATTCCTCAGCTCTTTCAGTACACTGCTGCACACTTGTAGTTTGTAAAAGCACTTTAGAAATCAGGCTTTAGAAGCAGGAAACGTTACCATTTGGAAACATCTCTTTCCTAGGATTCCTGGAATGGATTTAAAAACACTACCTAAGAACTTGCTTACATAGTTGGTTAATTTAACTTTATAGTGTGAACTTTGCATAACAAGGATGGTAACGCTTAATGTGATCAGATTCCTTCAAAATTGACTCAAGAAAATTGTGGGAGCCTAATCTATTCTGTTTTTCTTTGTTTGTAGGTTAGTCCATTCATTGATGACAACACTAGAAAGAAATTCCTTATTTATGCTGGAAATGACTACCAGGGTCCTGGGGGACTGCTGGATTACATCGATAAAGAAATTATCCCTGATTTTCTTGGTGGAGAGTGCATGGTATGAATATAAACTAGTGCATATAGCAACTTATTTGTGGTTTTTTTTATTCCCCTGCTCCTATAAACAAAGAAACCTAGAACCACAGAATGATTCCTAATGTAGTTTGGAGGCAGGAGCTATGATGTTGTTGGATTCTAGGCTTAGTGTTTTCTTCCGGATCCACTTTAAAAAGAGAAGTACAATACTTCTTTACAATGAATATCAAATAAGTTACCAAAGTAGCCAGGCATGGTTAAAAACTATCGTCTCTGTTACCTGTCAAGTTCAAGCAGACATGGTAGCACAGCACTGAGCAAAAGCTGTCACCATCAGCTAATCAGAAGAGTCTGTGTCACCTAGAAGAACTAACTGATACCGTAGGGAGCCCCAGGAAGTATGTGGCACATCTGCTAGCAGGGCTTAACAAACAGGCAGGTCTCCTAGCGCAATATGCGCATTGACCACAACAAACAAAAAAAATTGTTTTACTGCAGGATACTGTAATTTCTCAGTCCCTTGTCGTGTGCCTTAATAGCTGCTTTCTGCCTAGGCTCTGGGTGTCAGTCGAATCTGTTGTTTTAACATCTCAATGATACTGTAAGGTTTGTTTTCTCTGTAATGTTTTTGACAACACAGGCTCGCTGGTGTGACTGAGGTGTAGGAGTGCAACTCGGGCATTTTCTGGAGCCTCCATCACAGTAACACTTAGATGAATTTTTTTTCTGAACGCAGCTGTGTTAAAATACAATTTCAGGCTTGCTTTTTAAGCCCCTGTACACCTTCTAGATTAATTTCTGTACCACTCTTGAAAATTCATCTAGGTCTGTTCAAATATAGTCTCAAATTATAATGAAGTACTGTTAGACGTGTTGGAGTAGAGCATGTGTTTATCTTCAGTGGGCTGCTTTTTGCTGCAGCAGTAGCTTTCAGTGGTGAGTTTGTGCTATCTAATCTGGAGCTTGAGAAGCTGGCAAAATCCACTGCTTAAGTAAGCAAAAGTCAATGTTACCAGAAAACAGATTGCTACAATACTTCCTGCTGGTCACAGACAGTAATAGAGTCTCTTTCTCTTCTTTACTTCTGGATATTTGAACAAAAATGACTTCTCAAAGATCCTTTCAATTCTCTGTTGTAATTCAGTTATCAAACACTTCTACTGTGCCAAATACTTCTATGGAACCTATTCCTGATCAGATAGTTGTCTAACTTCATTACTAGAGACTTCTTAAAGATGATTGCTTGGGGAAGTTGTGTAATTGGTTCCAGTACTGAGCTGTCAAGACAGTTGTAACTTGAAAACTGTTACCTTCCTGACTGCAATATCCTTTTACCTGTTTGGAAACTTACTGTATCTCCCCACCATCCTTCGTCCTTAAATTTAGCTACCCCAGTTCTTTCAGGTCTCTGTAGGCTATATTTTTTAGACTGAGTCGCTATTGCCACTTTCCTCAGGATTCCTAAGTGGCTCACATCTTTCTTCAGTATAGGGCAGTACGAGTGATGACTATAGCGTTTGCACAGTCATTTTCTGTTGTGGTGGCTGTTGTGTATATACAAGATCTGTTCCTCTGGTGTCTAGTTCTTTAACCTCACCTAAACCAAATAATTGTAAAATACATGTATGTATGCATGATATACAAGCTATAAAATGACTTTCGAACTCTCTTCATATCTCATTCTTCAGAGCACTTGCTGAATGTGAGTTTTTGTTTCTGAGAGAGAGGGCATGCTCTGAGAGAGCATGACAGGGTGTGGATGTACGGAGGGGATGCTTCTTAATGGCTGTTTATGCTTTTAGTGTGAAGTACCAGAGGGTGGGCTGGTTCCCAAGTCCCTCTACCGGACAGCAGAAGAGTTGGAAAATGAAGACATAAAGCTTTGGACTGAAACAATCTACCAGTCTGCAAGTGTCTTCAAAGGAGCTCCGCATGAGGTACGGTTGCAGCCTACCCTTCTTTTCTTTCATCTCAGCCCTCTGCTCTGGACTCTGTCTCTTGAACTGAAAATGGTTTAGAACTTGATTATTTAGTTGCTGTGCTTCCACCTTGTTCTTCTGTAGTTCTGGTGCATAATGATGCTTTAGTAGCTGAAGTTTGTGACCGTTCCTGGTATCATCTTGTTGTCATTTAGAGCATATCACTGTTTTTCATTTTATTGAAAGCAGTGTCCTTCTAAGCAAAGACAAACGATATTCTCAAAGCTACTTGAGAGCTTCTGAAAGTCATGTCTTAAAATAAGGACACTCAATCAGGAGAGACTTTGTATCTGCACTGCCTAAATTAAGCCCAGCAACAAAACCTCTGGGTTTTGTCTCTTTTTCTGGTAAGAGTTTGTCTTTACTGAGGAAATTGCTATTGTCTAATATGACTTTTCTGTCTCAGGTTCTCATTCAGATTGTGGATGCCTCATCTGTGATCACATGGGATTTTGATGTGTGCAAGGGCGACATTGTTTTTAACATCTTCCATTCCAAAAGAGCCCCACAGCCTCCTAAAAAGGACTCCCTGGGAGCTCACAGTATTACATCTCCTGGTGGGAACAACATCCAGTTGATAGACAAAGTCTGGCAATTGGGGCGTGATTACAGTATGGTGGAGTCTCCCCTTATCTGCAAGGAAGGGGAGAGTGTGCAGGTAAGACCGCCGAATCCTCGTGTGGGAGCAGATGGAAAGCTAGCTCCAAAACTAGATGTTCTAATCCACAATTGTTACTGATGACTGAGTGGTGATTCAGCTCCAGACTGTCTGCTTGCTTTTGGCCGACATTTCAGCTTATGTTCCTAGCTGCATGCTGCAGGGAACAGGGATAGTATTTACATGGGATCTGCTGTGATGGGAGGTTGCATCAGGCTAATAGTGATTGAGATTGATCAGCAAGGAATATAGGGAAGCCACCTAGAATGTAGTGCACATCCAGAAAGTAGCAAGATGTGCTTTGTGCTGTAACTTTGACCGTTATTTTCTGAAGCAAACATCTGTGTTTGAAGAATACCATAGTGTCTTACCTCAGTAATGAGAGAAGTCTGGAAATTAAGAATGAGCTGCTGTGTGTTTGTCCCCCTAACAGGCACCTTAAGGAGCTCCCTATGGCCAAAGTTCCTGACTTTTTTTTATGGCATTAGCAACCTTTAATTACCAAGTTTGATATTCCATGCAGTATATTTACAATCACACTCTGCCATTGCTGTTCCTTTTGACTTGAAGTAAGAGTTGAACAGCCTTTGAAAAAGGAGCTGCTTAAGTTCCATGCAGCATATTTACAATCACACTCTGCCACTGCTATTCCTTTTGACTTGAAGAGTTGAACAGCCTTTGAAAAAGGAGCTGCTTAAGTCACCTGATTGGAAGCGTTAAACTGGAAATATGGGCAGTGACCTCTTGAACTGCACTTTCTGTTTCTGTGAGGCAGGAGCCTTGACTGCTCTTTTCAGTCTCAAAGGACAGCCATTAATGAAACTAAATGGAAGAAATGGATATTGTTTTAAACAAAACTTTGTTCTTTCAGTGTATTTAAATCCTAACCCCTTGACGCTGTCAAAAAGCGGGAGGAACCGCTGGTGTTCTATCATAACTTTTATAAGCATGCTGTCTGGGGAGAGTTGAACAGCACTGCCAGGTGGCTGAGGAGCTGAAATACTGGCATTGGGGAAAAAATTCTGGACATGTAGGCAATTTTTTAAGCTTGGAAAAAAAATTTTAAGCCTACAAATCCTTGTGTTAACAAAGTTAATTTTCAATTTTTGCTGTGGCTGCTCCCAGGGATCGCATGTGACCAGGTGGCCTGGCTTCTATATTCTCCAGTGGAAATTTCATAGCATGCCTGCCTGTGCTACAACCAACCTGCCTCGTGTGGATGATGTACTAGCATCTCTACAGGTCTCCTCTCACAAATGTAAAGTGATGTACTATACAGAAGTAATAGGATCTGAAGATTTCAGGTATGTCTGGCCAAGGTTCATGAAGGTCAGCTGATGTCAAACCTCTCTGATACTTAGAATATCAAGCCAGGGTCAAGTTCACTTAAATACAAGTAAATTGTGAGGACTTGTGTTTTCTTAGGCCTCACAAAAAAAAACCCACAAAAAAATTCAACCAGTACTGGCACTGGGGGCAACTAATGTATAATGAGGTAACTAATTAACCCCTTTTATAATCATCACTGGTCATTTTGCTTCACTTTGAAAGCATTGTGTGAGTTCTTAGGCTTGGCAGGTTGTCATGTAGAAATGGGTGCAACTCAAAATGGAATCGAGTCAGTTCAGTTGCCTGCCAGTTGATATACTTGACTGAAACTAGTTCTCAGTCTCTTCGAACGGCATGTTTTTTGCAAGAAGGTGTTTGGTGTCCCCATTATCTTATGTGGTGAGGCAGAAAAGCTTTTGAGTATCTCCACCAAAACCGTTCCACTACACTTCAGTGTGCAAATGAATACGATATAGATACATAGCAGAAATCAAAATCTTTGTATGTTCTGAAGCTTAAAACTACTTTGTTTTTTATTGCAGAGGATCTATGACCAGCCTTGAATCAAGCCACAGTGGATTCTCCCAGCTCAGTGCTGCCACCACCTCTTCTAGCCAGTCCCATTCCAGCTCCATGATTTCCAGGTAGTGCCACAACAGTTGAAAATCAAATGGATGAGATGGCTGGACCCTCGCCTGTGGCAGCTGACTGCAATACAGCATATTCAACGGGCAATTGCGCAAAAAAACCCCACCCCACAAAAGCCTTTTATAGATAGTAAAGTAGCTGTTTGAATTTTAAACTTAGTGGTTTTGGTCCTTGTTAGATCCAACAGCTTGTCTCTTAACTTTAACCCTTTTTTCCTAACTCAGCCATAAATATTTTTGCAAGTGTGCTTGCACAAATCCTAACTCTGAACACAAGGGCTCTCACTGAAAGGTAAAATAACCAGTGCATCAGTTAACAATACTTTTTTTAACTGTGTAAATGTTAAAAAGCAAAAAAGAGACAAACCCTACCAAAAATGCTCCACAGTGCATTAGAGATCAACTGCAAGTCTCCTGTCAGGACATTCCTTGCCATCTTAAGAAATCCCCTGTGATTCAGCGCTGCAAACTGTTCTCCCATTGCCATTGCCACTAAGTGATGTCCGAGACAAAGAAAAGCAGTTGCTGGATACTTGACTTTGTGAGTCCATTTTTTTCAAAGCATGCCCACGGAGCTGTGGCCAGGCTGTAAACACTAATACCTTTTGTATAAGCACATTGTGGGGGAATTCGAGCTCTGGGTCTTGATGGGTTAAAGCAATTCATTCTTTCCTTGGATTTGCGCTTGAAGCACTGCGGAGAGAGAGGCAGAGAGCAGGCTTTCCCTCGCTGTGTCACACTGGGCTGATCCAGAATTGATCTGAGGATTTGTTCCCAGCTCTGTGCTGGAGCTTCACTCCACTTCCTTAGTACACTCCACGTGAATTGATTTTACTGAGACTCTGTTCTTGTCAGGAACTTATGCAGAGCTTAAGCTTGCTTCTTAAATCAGTCTAAAGGAGGTATGGCTTACATCCTTCCTGTGCACTTTTCAGTCCCTCTTGCCTCCTATCCTTCCCTGCGTGTGTCAGAAATAGAGCGCTTTAGTTCTGAGCAGCGGAAGCTTTAGTGTAGGCAGGGAGCGCAGGGATCGTCACTCTAAATGATATAGTAGAAGACGCTCTAAGCGGTGCCTGCTCGACCATTTTCACTATTGCTACTGCCAGTGGTGAATGGCCACTTTGTATTTTGTCCCTATTCTACCCAGGCCCAAGCAATCCTACTCGAACTCTTTTTGTTAAAGTCTGTTCAGGTATTCTTCCACTTCGAGCAGTCTCTCCCACGCACAGCAAAAGGTACAAAAGGCTGAAGTGCTGAGGAAAGGGCTGTCAGCAGACAGCTACAGACCACACCTGGCAGTGGAGCAGAGAACATCTCAGTCTGAAATGCAGCAGGATTTGAATAGTTAGACCCTGCCTGGTCTTTCCTCACCCTCTTAGAGCTAAACTATCTATCCAGGCAAAGAGGAGCTCCTGTGCTGGCTGCAGTCCCTACTAGAAAGCTGGATAGGCTCTATTAAGTCTTGGGGAGGCAGCACTGTTTGTGGGTAAGCGGTAGAGGAGCTTGCGGAGGTCTTGCACTTTCAAAGCAGAACTCACTTAAGATACTGGATGCTCTGCCTGAGGAAAGCTGGTTCTGAACTCAGTATAAATCTTTTTTATGACTGCAAAGCTTCTGAGAGGCAGGTTACCAATGTCTAACTAGGAGCACCTCTCCTGCTGACCAGTTCTGGCTGTGGAATGTGGCAGACAGAGCTGAGGAAGTATTTTAGTAACAGATTTAGAGGTGCTGAGAGGCCAGACTCCTTAAACTGAACCAAACTGGTCTATTTTGTCTTTTTTGGACTTAGAAATTGAAGATGGAGGCTAGACTGTTACTTAGGCTGCCAAAGCATGCTGTTCCACGAGGCAGGCCACCGCTTTGGTGTCAAGCAGCTCCCCACCCAGAGTCTGCACAGCAGCCAGCCCCACGCTGTGGCTCTCGGGCTGCTCATCTGAGCTGTCTGCCGAGGAGGGACCCAGCTTGCTGAAGAGGTGGTTTGATTCTTGACATGCAGGAACCAGTATTCCCAGGCGCAGGGAGCTAGTGCAGCAGGAGGCACAGTGAGGTTAACTTAATGACACTCATGGCCCTTTGCAAATGCCACTGTCCGTTTACCAGGCTCTAAGGGTTGAAGATGGTCCCCTTTCTTTCTTTCTTTCTCTCTCTCTCTCTCTCTCTCTCAGATGGCGATTTTGCTGACAACTGTAAAGAAACTGCTTCATTCAACACTCCACATCTGTCCAGAGGTGTCTGGCTTTGTAGACCTTTTTGAGTTGCAGTCACTTTTCAAGTCTGAAGATCTGTATTTTTGTTTTTTCACTTGAGCTGGCTCAAAAGTGGCACTTTGGGTTTTTCCTGCTGTTAATCTTAACACATCTTTTAGAGCTCAAAGCACATGACAGCACAAACAGCTGGGGAGATAAAATTCCAGAAAAACAATAGTTAATCCTCCTCTAAGCAAAGTGCTGTGGCAATATGACTTGATCACTGCAGTCAGACTAATTAATTTCCCATACCCTGGTCTTTCTTTGTGTGATATTATTGCTCTTCTTCCTTCTCTCGGCCAATAACTCTTCTGTTGGCTTTTTTTCCTGTTATCAGTGTCCTTCTGCACTTTCCTGTCTGTACTCATGAACTGCATATCAAATTCTGTAAATGTTTTGTATACGTAATACCTCATTCTTGGTAATAAAATACAAATAGTCTTTAAAAGATTTTTTTATCGTTATCAATAAATGTGAACTGTTTGGAAAAAAGGGTCAGCCTCTTTATTTCATTCATCTGATGCAAAGCTTCCAGGTTACTTTATGTGCTGAATTCAAGTCTGCCAGGGCTGCTCTGGGGCAATGCTGTTACGGGGGACGCAGGAGGCGCTTCGGCTCTCTGCCACTGTGGAGGAGTTTCAGCAAAGCAGGCTGTCTTGGGGAGTAGAAACCTGAGCTGGTACAAGGCATGAGGAAATGTGGTTTTAGAAAGAAAAGGGCCTCTGCTGGGCACTTCCCTGTCACATAACAAAATCCTGTCTTCCCCACAGTGTACACATACACAGGTTTGGGTTTTTTACTAGTCTGTAAATACACAAAAGGAACAAAATACTGTGCTGAAAAAGTCTTCAGGTACCCCTAAAAAGAAAATGATTGCTTTCATGGGTTATATGATGACTTTATACTCTTTTATCACAGTTTGAAAGGGAGCTTCAACCTCAGCAGTTCAGCTGATTGCAGCAGCTTCCCTTGTGGAGTGTATTATGTGTATTATCTAAAAGGCTGGCACTGGCAAGCTTAGCACAGCATGGGTACAGATAAATGTCTCGCTCGCCCCTGGGCAGGCTGAAATGTGCCTGGCTGCCTGAACTAGCAAATGCAGTAAGTTTTCCACCTGCTTATTTCTTTTTACCCAGTGGCCTTGCCGTAGGCTTTCTGGCAGAATAAATGGCTGACTGTATCCCTAGGCTGAGCGTGTACTGTCCTGGGAAAACCCGAGTGGTCTTGGGGCAGGCACAGCTGCCTGGGCAATAAAACTGCCCCTAGATCCTGGTCTCTCCGGTCACACTGAGCCCTTGGGGCCTTGCCTCGGTGTGCTGGGCGGGAGCCGCTCTGCTCCCGGGGTGCAGTGTGGGCCTGGGGAGAGGGACTCTTCGTTAAAGGTGAAGGTTTGCCTGCACTGCCCCGTGTTTTAGTTTGGTGGATGCAGCTGTTGTGAGGGTTGGGTTTTTTTTAACTGAAATTTAATAATATAAAGGTACAATAACTTTTTCTTGTTCAAGAGTAAGCATGCTGATCTACGGAGCTGCCCATGCAGGGGTTTGATGCTGCCCACTTCCAGGGGTGAGCCAGCCATACGGTCTGGAGGAGATGGGCTCCTTGGCTGCCCCCGCCTCTGACGCTGCCTTGGTGTGAGGCTGAGACAATAACATTTGGGGAATTAAGATTTTTTTTTTTTGTATCAGTAGAAATAGACAAAGCTTTAGCTATTTTTAAAACAGGAGCCAATAAATGTCAGGCTATGGTTTTTCTAACCCCTGGAGTTGGAGCAGTGGCTGAAACATCCATTTATGGTTGGTCTTTCAGATTTTATCCAAGCTTTAAAGTTTCTAAAATGAGAATCTTTAACTATGGTTGTGGAGGTCTGTCAGCAAGACCAGATGGCTGCCTGACCTACTTCAAGTTTTAACATGTGGCCACTATTTTTATGCCAGCACATAATTATAATGGACTGGCTTACTGCTGCTCTGGACGTTACTAAGTACAAAAGCCCTTGAAAAGACACCGTATAAGGAGGTGGCGTTGGCCGTTCCGCTGTGCTGTGCCCAGGGAAGCAGGGGGGAAGCTGCCTTTCTGGGCCAATGCTCCTCTCTTGAAATGGCAATTAAAACTGAGAGCCTCAGAACTTACTTGAGCTGAGCAGGTGATAACGGTGCCTGCTCCGCCATGCAGCTCCCCTTGGCAAAGCATTGATCTGGTTGAATCGTGTATTTTGGTTTTGGGGGGTTTTTTGGTGGATTTTTTTTGAGACAAAGCAGAATACCTGGAAGAAATTTCACCTGCCCTTTTCCACCTGCCTCCCCTGCCAGCCCTCCCTGCTCCCCGCAAAGCCGAGGGCTCCCTGTTCTCCAGGCGTGAAACCCTGTTGTCCTTCTCCATTTGCAAATCTAGCTTGCCAACGAGCCTGTAAATTTTGTCACCCAAGGCGAAGGGTCCTGAACTGCCATTTCAAAGTCTCCCCGTGCATCCCTCCTGCTGGGGCAGGGGCTGGCGCTGGCTCACTGTCCGGCACCGCTGCCCGAATAGCAGCACATGCATTCCCTGCGGGAGCAGCCAGGACCGTTTGCTCTTCCCATCGCTTCGCAGGGTAGGCTAATTCTGGTGCTTGATGTAGGCAGACATGTTAAAATGAAGATGGCCCATCTAGCTTGCCAACGAGCCTGTAAATTCTCAGTCACCCAAGGCGAAGGGTCCTGAACTGCCATTTCAAAGTCTCCCCGTGCATCCCTCCTGCTGGGGCAGGGGCTGGCGCTGGCTCACTGTCCGGCACCGCTGCCCGAATAGCAGCACATGCATTCCCTGCGGGAGCAGCCAGGACCGTTTGCTCTTCCCATCGCTTCGCAGGGTAGGCTAATTCTGGTGCTTGATGTAGGCAGACATGTTAAAATGAAGATGGAAAAAAGACTTCTGTAATCCCTGCTAGCTCACAGACAGTGCAGGATGCACGCGGAGCCCTCACCTCCGTGTCGGTGCTGTGCTGCGGGTACCCGGTGCGTGCCGGGGCCAGCCTGGCACCCTCCTGCACCCCAGCTGCTTTGCTCCGAGCTCCTCGGGGGGCTGCATGGTGCCGGCAGCTTTGGAGGAAGGTGCAAGGCCAGCGCAGTGCACAGCAGCCAGGAAAGCTGCTTCCCAGGGCGGGGGCTGCTTAATGCCTCCGGGAGAGAAAAATCCTAAGCCTGAAGTGTTAGGTTTTGGCTGTCTTTCAAAAGTCATTAACATCCAGCACAATTCATGTTCTAAAAAATATTTGCCATCTCCCTTTTTTTAGGAAGGGGAGGAGAGAACTTACTGTATTTCGCTAACGCATGCTGTTGGAAGGAGTTTGGATGCTGGGAAATAAAAGGTCGGGATTTTCTAGCTTGTTTTTCTTTTCTTCCCTCCCCTGTGACCCCTGCTGAATTCATCCCACTTCATGCTGTAAGCCCTGGTCCCGCAGGTGGCACTCGGCAGCCGCAGGCCCGAGGCGAGCAGGGAAGGGACCCCGGTTTTGTGGCTGGTGCCGGGTCTGATTCAGCCCTCTCCCCCGCGCACGCTGGGGGCTGCGGAAACAGGGGCTAACGCTGGTCCGCTTCACAGCCCAGAAAAAGCCCCGAGGACCCTGCCCTGGCACCAGCACACATCCCTGGCGAGGGGCAGAGCTGAGCCTCCCCCAACCCTCCTCCTGGCCTAATAAACAAACAAATAAATAAATCTCAGGCTCTTCTCGGTGCTGACGGAGCCTTTCCTTGCTGCCGTGGGGTGACCTGAACGGGGCACTCCCCCCCTGGGATGGGCAGTCCGAGGGGAGTCCTGGCTCCCAAACCCCCCCAGGCAGGTCAGGCTTGGGATGCTGCTGTGACCCAGCACTGCCCCACACCTGAGGGTTGTGTTTTAAATTGTTTTAAAAAAAAAAGGGGGGGTAAGGAAAAAGGAGTTAATGTGTTACGTACACTTCACCCTGCCGCTACCCAGCACCAAAAAAGTGCAGGGCAGCCCCAGGCACCAGCTATTCCACCCACCCCCTCGGTTTACACACAACTGCTTTTCCTAATTGCATTTTGCGCAGGAAACATCCAACTGGTTGGTGAAGGGCGAGCGCAGGGTGGGACCCTGCGCGGCCCCAGACACCCCCCACAACCCGAGCTGTGCAGGGGAAGAGCTGCAGGGCAGGGAGCTCTCGCTTGCCTGATCTGAGACCCAGCACTGTGTAGCGTCCGTGGCTCAAGCAGGACGTCACCCCACAGCCTGGTGTCCCACGCTGACCCCTCGGACCCCCACATCGGGGTTACCGGTCCCCACGGCTGCCAGCTCCGGGGTGAGGCCGGCTGAGCCGGGCTCTGCTCTGCCCAGGCGCGATGCTGAGCCGGTGCCTGGGGGAGTCCAGCGTTACAGGCAGCCTCTGTACCCCCAAATACACCGCTGGCACTGCCGGGGGGGGCACCCTCCGGGGGGTTAAGGCACAAACCCAACCAGCCCAAGCCCGGTGTAGAAAACCCACGTACCAGGGGCAAAGGGCTGGGGGAGAAACCCACGAGTGGGGCAGCACGCAGGGCAGGGCGGGGGGGGGCCGGGGCTGTGCTGCTGCCCCAGGGGACAGGGCACAGAAATTGGGTGGCTGCAGCACAGCAAGGCGCTGGCAGAAACCCCACTAGATGGTGCCAGCAGCCCACGCACGGCCCACGGTGACTGGTGTCCCCGCTGCCAGGGGGCTTGGCGTGGGGTTGGGTCTGTCCTGCACCCCACTGGGCTCTGCCGTCCCACCAGCACCCCAAGGCACTGGTCCATACTGGGAGGGCTGAAAACAGGGCAGGCATCCCCTGCATAACCCCCTCCAGCAAAAGGAAAGCCTTTTGCAGGGAGCAGCCGCCTCTCTGGTCCCCGGACCCACAGGGCAGCAGGTCTGGGTCATCGCCCAGCCCCGTGGCCAGACCCTCACCCTGTGCGCTGTGCCCTGCGTGAGCCCCAAACCACCCGGCCCGAGACAAGAGGATGCTCGACTGTCCTTCAAGCATCAGCCTGTCTTTTGTTTTCCTCTCCTGCTACTAGGGATCTTCCAAAACAGTCATCATTTCACAAGAATATCGAGAAAGTTAATCAACATTGGAGAAAATCCTTGAGGAGCTGGTAAGAGAAATCCTATAGAAGTGAAAGAATATTCTGCTTATTGCTACGGCCCCAGTAAGAATTAGCCCACGAGCTGCAATGGGCTGTAACCAAACATTTAAGTTTAATTATGTGCAGGACTCCACCAGGGAAAGGGAGATGGAAAGAGGAACAGCACAGTGAAAAAGATGGGACCTGAAAATACAACGTTGTTCCTCACAAGAGTATCATAAACCGACCCAGGGCGGGTATCGGCCAGGGCCACCACACCGTGTAGTAAACTTTATGTCCCTCTTGCCCCATGGGACTGCAGGTGTGAGCATCGCTTCAGCTCCCACCCTGGGGCTTTGGGGACACAGGTAGGAGCTGGGCAGGGAACAGGGTCCCCGGCAGGAGCCATCATAGACCCT